ATCGGGCACATCGTTGTAATCACGCAAGCCTAGCCTATACCGTGCTGTACTTTTTTTTTTTTTTACTCTTTTCGCTCTGTGGGCACTAAGAAAGCTTTTTTTTAGCAAGCACATTAAGGGTTTGGCCAAATCAACAATGGGTCAGCCGGATGGTGAGGGATTGGGACCCGACATATCCGGATGGACCACCTCCCAAAAATTTCTGGGGATTTTTCGACCCGCTCGGATTCGATTCCGGGTCTCCCAGCGCTACCACCTTAACCGCTCGGACATCCGGCCGTCAAAGTATACTGTGCTATACAACACTGTACTGTGCATGTATCGTAAGTTTTGATACTTTTGAATTATCCACTGATATTTAGTGCCCTTTATCGCCCAAGCGATTTTGTAAGTTTTGTTAACTTTTTTGTTTGAAATAAAATTTAAACAAAAAATCTCAATGTAAAATAACGTCATTCTGCCGATTCTTCTGAGTTATATATTTTTGAAAATAACTACAGCAGTGTATAAAAATTATAACCAAATATTTTTTCTTACAGTGGTTTTTTTGGGGGGGCAATAAGAAGAGCTGAATATCAAATAAGCATCCTGTTTTTAAGACATTTTTGCAACTACATAATGATATATGTTACATTAACTATGTATTGAACTATGTATATATGTTACTGTGAAAGACCGAAATTAGAGAATGGACCGGAATTAGAGAATCCACAAATACTTTGTGGATAGCCGGAGGTAGGACACGGTCGTACCTCTTTTTCCGGCAATGGTTTGGTGGAAACTGCTCACTTTGTTACTGGATTGCGTTTTTGTTCTTTTGATCGGTTTGTCAGGTCGAGTGGCGGAGGATGAGAGGGGTCGTCGGTAAGGCGTCGGCGATATCTGAATAAAAGACACTGTAATAACGTAATCAGTTCGTAATTTGTAAAGAAAAGTTACTTTTCATAGATAAGATTTCTTCTCAAGAAATATCGCCGAGAGAAGCAGCTGCAGCTAATTCGAAAAGTGGAGGGCAAGGCTATACACGCTGTCATTGCAAAAAGAAGTGTTCCACGAATAAATGCAGTTGTAAAAGCAAGGGACTCTTGTGCAATTCAAAGTGCCATACAGTTTAAGTTGTTGCATAAATAAGATTGTATAACGTTAATCACATGATTTATGTGTAAGTTTATTATTGTATTACAGGTATTTTCTTTAATGATTAAGAATGTACTGTTCGTTTTAGGTTCAACAGTTTATTTAATGTGCTGTTACTTAAGCTTCCTCCTATTTTTACGTATTAAAAAGTTGCATTTTTGTCTTAACGTAATAAAAATATTTTTATTCAACATTCACCATCAGTGCATGCTGAATGTCGACACTTGCCGGTGTAAGTGAGAAATAATATTTAGCAAATATTTCGTATATATACGAAACGATTGTGTGAATGTTGACATTCACCAGATATCGGCCATTCACAGTAACATATATACTGTATATATATTGTCGTCATTATATTCTCTATTAAAACCACCAAGATCTGGTATTTTCCAAATTTCGTTTGATGAGAAACCGAGAGTTCATAATAAAGTAAAAAAGAAAAAAAAAACATTCGAAAAAAAATCCAAAGAGGATCTTATCTACTTGAAAAAACTAAAGAGAAATTGGATGGACATATTGAAAGAGGTATTTAGGAGTGTGATGAGATAATTAATTGATCATGATTGTGCATCTGCAGATGTATTAGAATGTACAGTATAATAGATTACGTCTCTGGCTTTGTTGCAAAAAAGTTTAATAATTTTACAGGTTATGAAGTTTGTATTAAGGCATTGACCAAAGATGAAAGTTAACCTGTAGCACAGTTGACAAATCTCAAAACAAAAAGCAAACATACGTACTGTACCTAAATACATTTTTTTTTCACTACTTAATCAAATTGAACAACAACTATCGGTTGGCATGCTTAATGATGGCATTCTGAATGACATTGCGGACATACTGTCACAAAAAAATCACGTTTCCATGTAAAGCATATAAAAATCAAATGTAAAATACTCGTACTATGTACTTCTAAGGATAATGTAATTTGCAAAAAACAAAATAAAATTGAATATTAACATAATTAATACAAAGGTGTACAAACAATTAATTACAGTCCATTAAATTATAATCTACACATTGATTTACAGAGGCCCACCAGTGGCCAAGCGGTCCTCATTTCCTGAACACTCTGAGTTCGCTCGTGGGTTCGCGCCGCTCTCGGACGGGCTGGCCACGTGGTTTTCCGGGTGTTCTCCACGTCTGTAACGCCTAAATAGAGGCCAGTTTCCCTTCAAGACCTCCAGGAAGGCATCCCCCAAGTGTTGCGTTGCCATAACTTCACTAAACATACTGATTTACGTTTTTTACATCGTTTTGTTTATACTGTCACAATTTTGCCAGAAATAATAGGAGTTTAGTTGCTGAAAGTTTAGACAAGTGGATCCAAGGAAATCACTCCACCTTCTTATGGGTGGACAGTACAACTGATGGTGACCAGGATGAGAATGGCTAGGGGTGTGGAGGTTGGGTTCGTTGAGAACATGCACCACCGATGTAACTGTTTCCACTGACAAATCGAGTAACAGGGAATTGCATAAATGATTACTAGACGTGGAAAATAAAGAACAGTAAGGGAAATTGGAGTAGGTTTTATTTAAATAATGTAATCAACGGGGTTGGCACTGAAAAGGTTGCGAACCACAAATATTATGTTAATCTTGATCTCAAATCCCTTGATATGATTTCATTCCAACTTTCATGTAGAATCAACCTACATTGTTATTTTATTTTTTTCCGGAATATTTATAATTTCTGTATGTTTTTGAAGTTTGTTTTTAAATGATTATTTTCAGTTATGATATATTTTACTCTTTTTTATAATTTCACAACCTTCCAAATTGCAGTGTTGAGCTATAGACGAAGAGGGTAGATTATTTTTAATGATATCTATTTGTACACCTTTGTATTAATGATGTTAACAGGCCAATATAAATTTATGCATACCTATTTCAACAAACGTCTACTAATAAAAAAAAAATTTAATTTAATAAAGTAAATTACCTCAAAATTTTTTACTTTTTAAATTTAATTGATTAAAATTAAGTCATAAAAGTAACTAATAACTTATTATTAATAGAACCAATTTTATGTTTGTGAAGCCAACTGACTGTATAAGATTAACTACAAGCATCAATTATATTTATTATTGTATTGTACAAATTTAATTATGTTTAATTTAATATTACCCGTTATTGTTAAAATTAAGCCATAAAAGTATCTAATATGTTGTAAACTCGGTGCACTGAGTTATTTGATACCAGACTGTAATCTTTGTCCTAATACAATATTGTAAATATTCATAGTGTTAACTGCCATGTTCGTCTCTTTAAATGGGCTGATGAGGGACTTTTAGCACCCGAAATGCATTTCTATATCGATAAAATTTATATCTGATTGTCGTGTCTTTTTTTTCCGTCTTGTCCTGATATGATAAGCCCTTCCCTTTTAGCAGTGTTGTCAAGTTATTAGTTTTAATGTACTTTTGGGGGGCTAGTACTCAATTTATGCTATTTTCAACTTGTATCAGAATGCGATGGATATCATATTGAACATTTGTTATGTCACTCGTAAATGTTTTTTACTTTTGTGTTGTTTTCCATCGTAATAAAGCACGAATTGCCACCCCATGCGGCAAATTTTTTGAACAAAATTCCATTGCTTCACGATATTCACGCAAAATGTAGTGTCAGTGGTTCTTATTTCGAAACTTTAATTATAATCACCATGTGTATATATATATATGAAAGATGATGATGATGTATAAAAAATATACTATAAACAAATATTTTAAAGAAAAATATGCGAATAAGCATCGACATCTGATCACGAAATACTAAATGGGAAAGAGAAAAACCGAACTTTACAATAATCTTTTACTTTCTCGGCTGTTATAGAATATAACAGGAAGAGATGATATAGGGATATGCTGATCGGTCAAATTTTTAATCTCCTCCCTGCATTTCTGGGCGTTTTGACACTTTGAGACGAAAATTATAAATAATTAAAAAAATTCTATGAGTACGTCGGAGTCTGTTTTGCAATATTTCAGGTCTGAATAAACGAAAAAATTTGAAAGGAGTGGAAAATAAAGGTCAACTGTCATCAATTTAACGAAAAGTTTATTTGTTCCTAGCATTTACAATTTTTTAAAACTCACTTCTACCCCTAAAAAGTAAAGCTTTTGCGGTTTTATAATTAATATTTTTAAAATTAAATCTCATAAGATTGTCAGACAAATTTTTAATTTAAACTTAAAAATTTGTTTGAAAAATAGAGAAATTTCTGATGATTCAACAAAATTATTCTTAAGTTTCCATTATTTCAGAAAATTATCAGACTTAAGGATCCTAAGGACGGGAAAGTTGTGCAAGAGCCCTTGCATATATATATTTTTTCTTTTTTTAATTTATTAGACTGACACGAAGTTCAAAATATTCATTATTGATGTGCATGTTTCATCCTTAAAGGACAAACGTCACGTCCAACAATTCAAAATTTAAATTGAAATTTTTATTGCAAATTAACTAATATACAAGTCTGTTTTCGGTTAAAATCGTTTCAATGAGTTGATTTGACATTTAAACAATTTTGTACAAAATTTAATCTTCATTAACAATTAATGTATACCAAATATCACTTTGCATTAACTTAAACAAGATGAAAGCATCTCGTTAACTTCTATTTTGAATAACAACGTACTAAATTATTTATCTAATTGTTAAGGTAATATCAAAAATTTCCAGTTATAAATTTTAAAACGATTCAGAATTTAAATATTGTACGATCGATTTATCTAAAATCATTTTTCTACTTTTTTTTAATTGAAGAATTAATATAATGTTAAAAAAAATCAAAAAGTTATCAAAATTTAAATCTTTATTTAAGTATACAAGAAAATAAAATTTTATAGTTATCAGATTTATTTAGATGTAGTTGTCAAATAATTCCATCCTTTTAACATCTTTTGAAATTTTATAATTAGAATTATAATAGGTAAAAATATTTGAAAGTTATATAACAGCTTTTGATATTTAATCATTACCAAATTATATTTAAGTTGACATTAAATAACAGAATTCAAATTATTACCATTATTAATATGAAAAACAATACTGAAGCTTTTAAATTATAATTTGAGATTTTATAAATTTGTGTTTAAGGACGAAGTCGAGTATTTATGGATTGATGTAACAAATATTTAGCTTTAATTACTAGATGTTTTTATTAGAAAAACTATAAAATCAGTATTTAATTGTAACTACGTAATTTTCAGCCGGCTTGGCATCCACTTACGTAGTTACATAAAATATTGAAAGAATCCAGCTGCAAATAGTGTTGAGTTATATATATATATATATATATATATATTTATTCAATAAAAAAATATTCGAAAAAATTAAAGGTAATTATTCTATATTACTTTTTTGAAAGTATTAGATGTTTTTACATCTATAAATATAAAAATAATACATAAATTCTTAAACAGATCTACATTGCACATGACATCCCTGTATTTCTTAAGTGTCTAAATGATAGTAAATCACAAAAACTTGTTTTAAAAACGTGCAGGTGAGTACATTTTCGTAAAAACATTGTACATTTCTTCAGTTATTTTGATTTCTTCAGCTCTTCTTTTCTCAATAATAGTTGGATTTAATTGGTTAACGCAATAAAACTGATTGAATTTAAGTATTTCTTCCCTAGCTTTATACAATTTATCAATCTTTTGCTGGTGATCATTAGACAGTTTTTCTTTTGTATCTGTGTAACGTTTTCTGGCCGTTTCTTTATCTTCCCTCTCTTTTTTATATATAAACATTTCGTTACATTCTCTCCATTGTTTTACACTTTCAGCATAAAGCAAACGATTACTCGAAGGTGACTGTACATTTTGCATTAACTTCTGCATATATTCTTCCAAAATATTATTTCTGTTCTTTTGGCTGTCAAAAGTGATTTTATGCAATGTTTTGAAATAAATTGATTCCTCAAAGTCTAGCTTTTCCCTGTATAATTTCTTTTCATCTTCTATTTTTCTATCGAGAATATCGGTACATGGGATAGATTCTGTTTTCTGTCGTTTATTACCTATTATTCCCACAGGATCTCCTGTTGCAGTTCTTTTTCTATTAATACTTTGTTGTGCTATATAGCCCTCTTTCTTCATTCTCCTTAATCTAAAGGAATGTGAAGTGAGATCTTTATGAGGATTTGGTACGCTGTCAGAATTCCAACAATTTTTTACGGCACTGTATCGTTCTTCGTCTGTAGTAAGTGTTTTGACCCTTTCCCATTCAGGATCATCAATGTCTATTTTTTCTGTAGGATCTTCCCTCCTCCAATTACGTTTATTAAATTTTCTGTTGCTTGTTTTATCATGTTCTTTATTCCATTTCTCTGAAACAGATTCTTTTAATATACTCTCAACACTATTTTCAGCAATATTCTTTTCTTGAATAATTTCATGCTTATCGCTACTTCCTGCCGGAAACATTTTATTTTGTGAGTTAAGTTGATCTTTTTCTTTTAAAGATGTACTTTTTGGAGCAGATAACGAAATTTTTGACTTCTTTTCATCTTCTGTTTCCGATTGTTCCGTAATAGTATCCATTTCGTTAATTTCCAAAATGAGACAATCTGATTCATCTTCACTAATATTTGCAATTTTAAGCTGTGATGGACCATCATCTTTGTTTGTATCTAATTCAAGTTGAAATTTATTCACTTTTTGTTCGTCGTCACTTTTTATCTCTAATACTTCTTTTATTTCATTAGAAACATAATGGGTAGAATCGATCTTAACTTCTTTATTTTCTCGCTCGATTTCATTATTCAATGATATGTTTAAGTTGTTATCTATCACAGTTTCAGTCTGATTAGGATTTTTATTAATATGCCTTTCGTCAGAATCATTTTTTGTTTTCTCATATAAAATAATATTTTTATTTGGCAAAACATCTGAAACACATGTTTTTTCTATCGAAATTCCATCATTCGTAACCATTATTGAATTTTCCTTTTCCGATTGTTTTCCACTGTTGTGGTTGTTTAATTCTACAATTAATCTATTTTCTTGGACTTTATCATATAAACACTTTATTGAATCGTCACCAGCATGTAGCGATTTTGGCGACGATGTGCAATGAGAATCTCCTTCAATAAGGAGCGAGATCCCATTTTCATATTCATCGCGAACACAGCAATATTTTACAGAATGTCTCACAGGTGTACTGGAATTTCTATCATTTTGATCATTTTCACAAATTTTTATCTTTTTTCTGGGAGAATTCAGATGTATGTCAGTATTTTCTGGAATAAAGATTGTTTGATCTTTATCACTTATAGGCATTTCTGAACATTCATTTTGATCCTGTATTGAAAATATCACACTTCCTGTAGATGATTTTAAAAAATCATTAGATTTATCAATGCTAGAAGTTTCAGTTTCAATTGTTTCAACCAGTTTAGAATTCAACAAATTTAATTTTACGTCACTCTGTTTTAAATAATTAGCTATGTCAGAATTTTTTACCACTGAACATAAACTATAATTTATATTTTCTTCTATATTCATTGAAAATTGTTTTTCATCTATATACGGATTTCGATATATACTTTGTTCCANTTATGCCCGCGACCCACAGGTTGAAAAAACACTGCGTTAGAAATAAAAAATAATTTTAAAAAATTAAACACGACAAAAAATATAAAAATATATTTTACTATTTACGTGTAATAATATGTAAAAATAAAGTATAATTTTTATAAAATTGCACTTATAATAAGGTAATGTAAAAAAATGAAGTCTGTCGCAAACTAAGCTTTGATTTTCTTTCTTGTATGTGTGTTTTATTTGTGTCAACCAATAAATGTAAATAAAATATCCTATATCACTGTTTTCTTTTATTATGTATTATTTAGATACATTTTATTATTTATATAATAGAAACTTGCAATAAGATACCACACAATGCAGTACGCTATATATAGTTACTTGACCTTGAAAAACAGGTGTTTGTCGATGTTCGCGGGTCATTCCTATCAATGCCTGTGGGGGAAGTGTGTTTCTAGACATGTGTATTAATCACCCTAAATATATGTTATTTTGTAATCGTTTTTATATTTGTTTGTTATGTTATTACCTATAATCAGGGGTGGCCAAACCGTGGCGCATGCGCCAAACTTGGCGCATTGGACGATTACAAGTGGCGCTTTAGTCAGTTCTGAGCAACATTGCCAGATTTGGCTTCTTTGCAATTAAGAATATTACATAGAAAATTAATTTTTTATAGTCTGTCTTGGCAAGTTCATTTGTTGCACAATTCGTTGCAATCAACTTTACAGATAAAATGAGTGTTCTCCACATAGTAAATTACAGTGTATGCATGTATGTTTATTTTCGATCAGTGCATAGGCGTCTAAATGACAGTGCTACCGTCCGGACAGTCCACGAGTCGGTTGGACTGCTACACCTGTTGACCTTTTTTTTTTTTTTTTGCTTCTACGATCCACGATACATTCGCAATCGTGTATGCCACTAATGTCAAATGGGACTATTTTGTACGGGTAACTACATCACCACCGCATTTTTTATTAATTTTTTTTTCACACAACTGAATTTTGATCTTTTAAATTGAAATACAGTACCTGATTAAAGGGTGGCCGAAATTTTTCTCCGCCCCAGGCGGCTAACACCCACGGTACGCCACTGCGCATCTGAACTCGTCTATCAAAAAATTGGCGCATGGTATGCAAAAGGTTGGCCACCCCTGACCTATATTATATGCTAACCTCACTAACCTACTATAATATCCTGACAAAAGAAGCTTTACAGTAAAAAATAATTAAAATAATTTATAATACACCATTTTATAAAATACATTTCTAAGAAATTTTAGTATAAAACTTTATTTCCTTTCTTACGTATTATTTAAAAACTTATCATCTTTCACATAACAAAATTTTCCTGATAACTCTCAAGATGATGAAGAGTACTGTCCATGCATATATTGCAATGATCTTTTTTCCCGATCTAAGCCTGGAGAAGACTGGTTACGGTGCTTAAATTGTTTGCGTTGACATTTCTAAAAGAACCAAGCGTTTCATTTGTGAACTTTGTCAGTAATTTTATAGATTTTACGTGTGTCATTTTGTCCTTACGTAATGTGCCATTTTGTCCATAGTATACGGACAAAATGACTGATCTCAATTAAACAATATTTTTTTCTATTATTTTTATATTATAAATGTTTGTTATATTTCATAGGTAAAGAACCAAAGATGATTGTTGTAGAATATGACAGTGCTATAATTTACCAATGAAGAGTTATGAACCTGAAATAAAACCATATGTCACTTTGTACGTATTTCCCCTACTTTCTTAATTCTATTATTTTTTATTTTTTTAAAAATAAAACTCGCTATTTACAAGGGCATATTCTGATAGTTTTTAAAATGGGTTTTACCGCATACATTTTTGAAATTTACAATTCATTATATACAATCCGAATTTGATGGGACAATGGGACAAGGGTCTTTCGGATAATCAAGAAACTTTTTTGATTTTTAAGCCAATTTAGCAGTGTGCATGTACAATAAACAAAAAATACCATAATGCAATGCAATTACTGTATGTGAAGGTAAATTAATTTACTCAATATCTAACGTAATGTTATGAGCAATACGACCTAGTTTTGCGGCGTTATAATCAAAATATAACGTAATGATTTCCAGTTACATGGAGAGTTTGGTTTCTGTGTAGTGTTGTACAGTACAGTACTATAATATGTACTGTACAACAGTGCATGTTCTTTTATTTAAATTTTTAAAATTTTTTTTAATTCATTTTTTCGGATAATCGCGTTTTCCATGTACTGTATGTATATGTATGTATGTATGTATGTATGTATGTATGTGTATATACCGGTGTACTGTATGTATATATGTAGGAATAACGATAGAAATAGAAGTAACAATACTCTTTTGCGTTCGTAACAGTCTTTCAATTATGGATAGAACGATAATGTTCTGGCGTCCGTAACGTCTTTATTCCTCGTTGCACCTTCTCTAACTGTCGTCTCGTCTCCCTCTCCCGTTCTCACTCGTCTCCTCCGCAACCCCTCGTTTATTTTCCTAACAGTTTAGGAATTTTACACCCACATTCGGCCATCCTGACAGCTGACATCGACACCGATGTCCTCATCTGACCGGTCGAAAACTTCGTTAGTTGAACTAAGAATTTGGTGGGCTTTTTCCTTTTTTTTGTTAAAAGTTTTCCTGTTCTCCCGCTTGCATTTTCTTAATGTTCTATTTTGCCATTGCTCTAACTTTATCCATTTCTTCCTCAAAACACAGAACTTTTTCTTTCTCGATTTTACTCTTCATATTCTTGAACCAATAATGTCTTTTCAGTAATGCTTCGGTTTTCTTAACGGCAAAGTGACCTTCATTGTGCGCTTCTCTGATATCGGCTTGCATTTGTAAGGGAACCCACTATTGACGACTCCCCATACATTTACTTGTACAGAATACCACTTTTTACTTCATAACTATTTGCATTTACCATATTAATTATCTCCATTAATTCACCATCTTCCTTTTGCGCATTTTTGAGCCTAGCTATAATACTATGTTTAATATTAATCGAAGAAAAAGTATAGTGGAATTTCGGTATACGACCTTAATCCGTTCCTAACGTTTGGACTTATACCGAATAGGACGTATACCAAACCAACCTTTCCCATAAGAAATAATGTAAAAATTATTAATCCGTTCTCATGAAAAAAAAATGGCTGGCTTTAAACACCTCGTTTTCCTGGCTAGTTCCTGCTTGATTTTCATGAGATCAGCATATATCTTTTTAGCTTTCTCGTAAATAATTGCTTCTGATACGCTGTCGCCAGCACACTGTTTTTCAGTTATCCAAAGCAAAAGCAATTTCTCAACATGATCTAATGTCTTCAATCTCTGTTTAGAAATTGATTTAACCTCTTTCGCAACGTTAGCAGATTTAATTAATAATGTCTTTGTTTTTCGCGATTGTCGATATCGTCGTTCTCGGAATACGGTATGCAACATTTAAATCTCGAACACACGTGCCACCTTCATATTCCTCAACAATCTCTTTTTTCAGTTCCATTGTGATTCTAGTCATTTTGTTAGTTTTCTGTTGCTTTTCACTTGCCTTTTTGCAATTCATGCTTAATAGAAGTAGTAAAATTTTACTTACAAATTAAAATCAGAAGAAATTTAACAAAGTTAGAAACTGTGGCATTGCGAACGTCTAGTCTGGTCTAGTACACGGATAGTGCTACTTGTTCATAGATGGTGCGTATAATTAAATTAAGTCGTATACCAAACAAAAGTTGTATACCGAGTAAAATTTGTTTTGTCCAAACAGGACGTATTCTAAAGCAGACGTATACCGAGGTTCCACTATACATACATTGTTTTCTTCGAACAGCATTACATCATCATTATCCTCATTTAAATCATCAGAAATTTCTTGTGTAGTGGGTGAATGTAATATTTTTTAAAATTATTTTCCAGTGATTTCACGTACTTTCTCTTCTTTGCTAATTTCAATTTTACTTGAATCATCTTTATGCGATTCTTCAGTACCCATACTTTTGTTTCGTGATACATTATCTCTCTGTTCTTTCAATGTTTTTCTAGTTAAGTAACCACGAATTCCTGCTTGGATTTTTACTGTAACTTCTAAATTATCACTTTTATCTTCAATCTCTTTTTTATTGGAAAGTGACACTTCAGGTTTTTCATTTGCAATCACTTGAATGCTTTCAATATTTGCTTTAGGTAATTCTTTTCTCTTCTGATTGACTTTGTTCTGTTTCTTCAACTTAATTTTGCTTTGTAGCTTCAGTTTTACTTGGTTCTGTTTCCTGGTCTCTGACTGCTTTGTAATTTTTTTATTAGATCTAGAAGCTCTATATCTTACATTATTGATATGGCTCAAGTCAACACCACCAGTATCTACGCAGGCAACATCAATGTTGCCTGCGTAGATACTGACGTCTGAAATGTTTACTTCTGTATCTTTTTCTTTGATAATTTTCTTAACACAACCTTCTTTTAAACTGACATGAACTTGTTTCAGAAAGTCTGCTCCGAACGATAACTGATAAGCAAGGAATGAACTAGGAACCACGTATATAGGAAGTGAAAATTGGTCTCCGTTAAAACTTAATAAAATCTAAAATCTTTCCAGTGTAGAACTCTCCTCACTTACACTCCATGAAATTCTAATAAATTTCCAGTTAATTTTGGTGCGTCCATCTTTACGTAATCATCGGCTCTCATCAAATTTATATCACTTACTGAATCTATAAGTGCTGTGAAGCTCACTTTCCCTATTTTGACTTCTTTTGCAGGCTTTGACTTAAAATTAAATTCTTTCCCCTTTACTCATAACTGCTCTTTGTAATTAAATATAATAAAACTTTGTGCATGGTTAATTTCTTTCTTTACTTTTGTTATGTTACACTACGTACACACTACAGTAATTTTTATACGATAAGTGCACAGTTTACTCATATTTTATAACAATTACCATAGTATGCGTAAGTACTGTAATATAACAAAAGTAAAGAAACAAAATAACGATACATACAGTTTATATTATTGCACAGCTTATTATATTTAATTGTAAAAACTTTAATTCTCAGGAAAAATATTTCTTGTAATTTACAGTACGTATGCATACATAATAAATTTAATTTTTATATGATACATGCACAATTTATTCAAAATAATTTAATATAGAATTAATTCGATCTCAATGCAAATTATAAGCTAACTAATTACAGTTCAAACAATTATCATTGCTTAAAATCTATCTTAACTATCTGAAAATGTGCTTTTTTCTGAAATTGAAACTCTCTAGAGGCCAATTTAACCGCTTTTCCTTACCGTAGATGAGTAAACTTCCTAAACAGTTAAAAAAAATAAAGAGGGGTTGCGGAGGTGACGAGTAAGGGGAGACGACAGTTACAGAAGGCGCAACGAGAACTAAAGACGTTACGGATGCCAGAACATTATCGTTCTATCTATAATTTAAAGAAGCTGGAAGTTTATTCTTACTTCTATACCTACAAATTTTGGGGGTTCGTCCGGAATATTGAACGAACTTCGTATGAGAACTTTTAGCAAGGCAATAATAGAATCCAGACAAGATGATGGAGTTAGTTAAGCTACGGTGAACGACGAAGAACTACGACTGACTGTTGTATCTAAGGACAATACTATGACGGATGTCAAACATCTTTAAGTGTGCTTATCTAAAAATCGAACTAGAACGACGAAAATTGAAAACGACGGGTAGCAAGAGAGAGTTGATGGAAAGATTGGAAGCGGCACTTTTGCGACGACTATACTGTAAGTGAAGACGAAGATAGTAATATTATGCGATATAAAAGTGAGTACTTTAAGCCAACGTTTACCATTAGAGATGCTGATAAATCCCTTGAAAGGTTCAGTGGTGACGACGGGAAGAATGTCGTTAAGTGGATCTCCAATTTCGAAGACATGGCGGAAATGTGTAACTGGAATGGTATGCAAAAGACTACTCAGAGGTTCAGTAAGAATGTACAGTACTTAAACTATGAACAGTGTACTAAATTATGGAGAGCATTAAAAGAAGCTACGAGTATTTGCGCCGAATTTTCTCCAAAACTGAACAGCGGGAAAATTCACAAACAACTTTCGATGGAAGTGAAGCATCAGAGTGAAACTTATCAGGAATATATGTATCGGATGATTGAAATTTCGTCACAAATTACGATTGAGGAAGAATCGGTGATACAATGCATCATCGTTGGAATTCAGGATGAGCAAGTAAGTAAAACAATGCTTTATGGTGCTACTACTATCAAAGAATTTCGACAAAAACTGCGAATTTATGAAAACATGAAATCAAGTTGTGAACTAAATGCTAAAATGATAGTGATATTCAAGAATTGAGATTAAGCCTAATAATTCCTATGGAGATGAAAAACGTTGCTATAACTGTGGAGGGAAAACAATGCGAGTACGTTGTCCGGAGAAAGACAAAGGAACGAAATATTTTAGTTCTTTGTCAAGAAATTCTCAAGAAGGGCATTTGTTATAATTACAATACTTATGCATACATGCTAAATTTGAATGTATGCATGCGTGCTTTTTAAAAAACCTGAGGATGGTCTGTAGAACAGGTTGAAAACATTTGTTAAAGTTAATAAATAATTCTCAATGAGATAGTATTGTGGTAATTAACAAGCATGCAGCTGAGTATTAAGTATAATAAGTCAATCTGATATCGTACTAAACACATAATTTTAATCTTTTAAATCATCATCTTGTTATATATTAGTATATGACTACTTATCTTTATTCTCATATAAATTTTAAAAGGGTTAATGTCCAGATACGTGGACCGTCATGGCGGCACTTCCTGTTTCAGCCTCGAAACCAGACGGTTTGCAGACGACGTGTCACGTGACGACGCGAGCGAACGACGGCGGCTGTCATGGCGCCTCATCGCTGATTCCAGCAAAGAAAAGGAAACAGTAGGGACGCACGTTCTATCTATAAATATAAAAATAATACATAAATTCTTAAACAGATCTACATTGCACATGACATCCCTGTATTTCTTAAGTGTCTAAATGATAGTAAATCACAAAAACTTGTTTTAAAAACGTGCAGGTGAGTACATTTTCGTAAAAGCATTGTACATTTCTTCAGTTATTTTGATTTCTTCAGCTCTTCTTTTCTCAATAATAGTTGGATTTAATTGGTTAACGCAATAAAACTGATTGAATTTAAGTATTTCTTCCCTAGCTTTATACAATTTATCAATCTTTTGCTGGTGATCATTAGACAGTTTTTCTTTTGTATCTGTGTAACGTTTTCTGGCCGTTTCTTTATCTTCCCTCTCTTTTTTATATATAAACATTTCGTTACATTCTCTCCATTGTTTTACACTTTCAGCATAAAGCAAACGATTACTCGAAGGTGACTGTACATTTTGCATTAACTTCTGCATATATTCTTCCAAAATATTATTTCTGTTCTTTTGGCTGTCAAAAGTGATTTTATGCAATGTTTTGAAATAAATTGATTCCTCAAAGTCTAGCTTTTCCCTGTATAATTTCTTTTCATCTTCTATTTTTCTATCGAGAATATCGGTACATGGGATAGATTCTGTTTTCTGTCGTTTATTACCTATTATTCCCACAGGATCTCCTGTTGCAGTTCTTTTTCTATTAATACTTTGTTGTGCTATATAGCCCTCTTTCTTCATTCTCCTTAATCTAAAGGAATGTGAAGTGAGATCTTTATGAGGATTTGGTACGCTGTCAGAATTCCAACAATTTTTTACGGCACTGTATCGTTCTTCGTCTGTAGTAAGTGTTTTGACCCTTTCCCATTCAGGATCATCAATGTCTATTTTTTCTGTAGGATCTTCCCTCCTCCAATTACGTTTATTAAATTTTCTGTTGCTTGTTTTATCATGTTCTTTATTCCATTTCTCTGAAACAGATTCTTTTAATATACTCTCAACACTATTTTCAGCAATATTCTTTTCTTGAATAATTTCATGCTTATCGCTACTTCCTGCCGGAAACATTTTATTTTGTGAGTTAAGTTGATCTTTTTCTTTTAAAGATGTACTTTTTGGAGCAGATAACGAAATTTTTGACTTCTTTTCATCTTCTGTTTCCGATTGTTCCGTAATAGTATCCATTTCGTTAATTTCCAAAATGAGACAATCTGATTCATCTTCACTAATATTTGCAATTTTAAGCTGTGATGGACCATCATCTTTGTTTGTATCTAATTCAAGTTGAAATTTATTCACTTTTTGTTCGTCGTCACTTTTTATCTCTAATACTTCTTTTATTTCATTAGAAACATAATGGGTAGAATCGATCTTAACTTCTTTATTTTCTCGCTCGATTTCATTATTCAATGATATGTTTAAGTTGTTATCTATCACAGTTTCAGTCTGATTAGGATTTTTATTAATATGCCTTTCGTCAGAATCATTTTTTGTTTTCTCATATAAAATAATATTTTTATTTGGCAAAACATCTGAAACACATGTTTTTTCTATCGAAATTCCATCATTCGTAACCATTATTGAATTTTCCTTTTCCGATTGTTTTCCACTGTTGTGGTTGTTTAATTCTACAATTAATCTATTTTCTTGGACTTTATCATATAAACACTTTATTGAATCGTCACCAGCATGTAGCGATTTTGGCGACGATGTGCAATGAGAATCTCCTTCAATAAGGAGCGAGATCCCATTTTCATATTCATCGCGAACACAGCAATATTTTACAGAATGTCTCACAGGTGTACTGGAATTTCTATCATTTTGATCATTTTCACAAATTTTTATCTTTTTTCTGGGAGAATTCAGATGTATGTCAGTATTTTCTGGAATAAAGATTGTTTGATCTTTATCACTTATAGGCATTTCTGAACATTCATTTTGATCCTGTATTGAAAATATCACACTTCCTGTAGATGATTTTAAAAAATCATTAGATTTATCAATGCTAGAAGTTTCAGTTTCAATTGTTTCAACCAGTTTAGAATTCAACAAATTTAATTTTACGTCACTCTGTTTTAAATAATTAGCTATGTCAGAATTTTTTACCACTGAACATAAACTATAATTTATATTTTCTTCTATATTCATTGAAAATTGTTTTTCATCTATATACGGATTTCGATATATACTTTGTTCCACCATTTGATAGTACCCTGGAAAACTGAAATTATAGTTTACAAAACCATCTATTATTTCGCTTAGAGAGTTCACGTTAAAGATATTCAACGAATTCTGATTATATTTGCTAATACAAGGATTATTTAAATTTTCGTTATCATCTTTACATAACAACAAAAGAGATCTTTCTAACTCTTCAAATGTCTCTACTGGATCAGATGAAAAATCCATATTTTCCATTTTCTCAAATTGATTTCTATCAATTTTATCTATAAAATAAAATAAAAAAAAACAATAAAAAGAGAAAAACTATTTTCATAATTAAAATTATAATTTATGTTATAAACAGATAAATGTCCGAGAGGACATAAACATTAATTATAGATAATTTGTACGAATTAATACGTTTGTTTTAGAATGTAATATCTTTAAAAGAAAGACATTATAAAAACAAACTTATTAATTCCTAAAAATACGTTTAATTAATCAAATGATCATATATTGGATAATATATAATTTCTATCTTTACAATTTATTTTAGCGTTGATAATGTTCATCTATTTAATGGAAACAGAATGATGTTTCTGCAATTATTTGACAATCTTGTCAGGATTTCTCATAAAACACAAATTCATGCATACTAAGTCGTATATATTTAAAAGATTTAAAACATTTCCGAAAAAAATAGGCTCATATATTATATTCAACTAAATAATTAAAAGCAGCATAACTTATTAAAAATATAAAGTTATTAACTGTGATATAGTCACAATTCTGGGCTGCAATTTTTAATCATATTTAATTTAAAATATATGCTCTCCACATAAAATTGAAGTGTATTGCCCCTTCACATCATACTTTCCTGATAGCAATAGCCATGGTGCTGATCATGTATCTAATTCCTTTCAGGGAAAAATTTTTAAATTAAAACAATATGACTTCCAGTGCAAACCGAAAGTTCATCTATAGTTAATCTGGACCTCCTATCCCATAAGCTTACCATACCTGGTTCCGACTTTCATCTACCTAACTCCCTTCTCGAGATTAAGAAAGGACAGACAAACGGGCCAACAACAATGGAAATTTATGCCTACAATTTCTTCAAATTGCAGCCTAAAAAACTTCAGACTGAAACGTTCCTAGATTAAGTTTTATAACTGTTTTTATTTGATATTAAAAAGGAGTGCATTTTTCCATATCAGATAAAAAATAGTTAATAAGTTATATATTGTATGAATTTTTGATCAGTGCGTGTTTCATTGAAAAAGATTGATTTATCAAAAAGAAAAACAATTGTTACAGGAATATTGGGGATACAGTTATCCAGATAAAATGTTAAAAGTAAAATATTTAAAAAACGTGACTCCAAAATGATTTGAATTTAATAGAATTTTATTTGTTATTACAGTATATGTTAAATGGCTATTTAATGCTTGCATTTAACTTTTTTAATGCTATGACATATATAAAAAGTAAAATTGCACTGGCATTGATATTATGCATTTCTTGTATATAATTAACTAATTTACTAATCTTAAAGAAATATAGGCTNTCCTGTTTCAGCCTCGAAACCAGACGGTTTGCAGACGACGTGTCACGTGACGACGCGAGCGAACGTCGGCGGCTGTCATGGCGCCTCATCGCTGATTCCAGCAAAGAAAAGGAAACAGTAGGGACGCACGTTCTAACCTAACCTAACCTATTCTAATAATATAATTGGTAATAATTATGCTAATTTATTAGAATAGGTTAGGTTAGGTTAGAACGTGCGTCGGTGCGTCACGTGACACCTCTGCAAACCGTCTGGTTTCGAGGCTGAAACAGGAAGTGCCGCCATGACGGTCCACGTATCTGGACATTAACCTTTAAAAGTTAGTACTTTTAAATTTAATTAAAACGAAACAATTAAGCGAACAAACATGGCGAAAAAGACATTGAGGCGTTTGATTTCTTTCTTTTTTTTTTTTTAATTGACTAAAATTATCCGAAACATCTTTTGAAAATGTTAAATGGCATCTTTCGTATATTAAATGATAAAAAATATACGTATAAAGTTAATACTTAAGCAAATAATTAAGTTACCGATAAAAATTTACATATTCTGAAGCCTTTTTATTTACTAAGTTATGCGATTATAAATACAGAAGTTAAGCAGTAACGATTAAATGTTAACTAGAAAATATAGAATTAATAATAATACAACTTCAAGTATTTAAATTGAAATAGTTCTTCAAATGTCAACTTACTAATTTTCACCGTTTCAATTCGTACGTTAAAGTGCCGACCTCTACTGGAATTTGGATTTGTCCATTGGCTTCCATAACAATATTTTGTCATTTTAGTTTGTTTAAAATATAAATCCAATTAAAAAATTGTATTAAATTTTAATAAAATAAAATTGATTATTGTTGGTTAAAAATATTCTAAAGTAATTACAATTCATCTGGCAACTGTTAAAAAATTCATAATTTTAAATCAACTCGACGAAGGCTTACGTGTCCTGTCATTGGTTGGATGGTATTTTCGCTTGATTGGTTGTTTTGTCCGCGCCAATTACTGAACTCGATTCATTTAGAAAAGACTGTATTACATTTACAGCAGAAAGAGATAGAAAATATATAAGAAAATTTATTGAAGTATGAAATAAATGACTTCTAAATATATTTTTAAACAGTTTTAGGCATTACTAGCAAAATTTGATTCTATAATATAATAATATAAATATTTTTTTAATATACGGTAACTAAACAAAACTTTAGATTAATACTTGTTTTATTCACAAGTTTAATAAGAGGTGTTTTCATACACCAGAGGTATTTGGGGATTTAATCCGTAAATATCTCCTGGCGAGGCGCGATCCCGCTTGGTTCGCGCTTCACCAGGACGGGCTGGCTACGTGGAGTTTACGGGGTTTTCAACACGTCTCTAACGCCTAAATAGGGGCAATTATCCTTTTAAAAGACCTCCAAAAAGGTATTTCCCCGGCTCTTCGCGAGTAATTTCGTATGGTCAGGCAAAAAGCTTCGCCGGCTGTTCAAAGGATAAGCGATACGCAATAACCCGATACGAGATACTATTCCGAAAAAGTTCTGTGTTATGTAAATCCATGCTATACGAAACAAAGGACTAATACAAAACATGGGATTAGGTTTCAAACGTGTGGGTAGCCGGAGGTAGGACGAATTCGAGAGAAATGCCGAGAGAAAGAGAGTCTCTTTCTCTCGGCAACAGTTTGGGTGAAAACTGCCCACTTTGTCAGTGGATGGCTTGTTACGTTTTACGATCCCGAGGGGTCGGGACTCTTTTTGTCAGGTCGAGCGAAGGAGGTGAGAGGGGTAGTCGGTAAGGCGCAGGCAATAAATGAGCAAAGGAGACAATTTAACAAGAAAATCAAAGATTTATTATATAACAAACTAGCTGTTGCCTGCGGCTTTGCCCGCGAGGATTTTGCAAGCAAACCCCATTTATATTCAGCATTTCAACAACCATAATAATTCTTATAGAACACCTACCGCTGAGAATGACGAGAATTTCCGAGAATCAAACGAACTGTTTTCAATTTGATCAATTTTCTGGAACATTTACAATCGTTCTATAATCGAACCAATGTGCAATAAAAATTTCGAATTTAAAACGGTTCGAACATTTGGTTAAAAAATCGAAATAGATAAAAATATTTATAACAATATCTGAAATGTTATCAATTTAATACACCTAAGTACTCAATGAAAATTAAACGTAGTTGAAAACGAAAAATCGCATCTAAAACAGTACAGTAGAAGCCGTTCTTTTGGTTAAGCTTTAATCCTCTCCCTCTTCCCCCCGCGGGGGAATTTCGAAAAATCCTTCTTAGTGCGCGTTTTTACGAAGTACACAGGGTACTTCGTGAAAGCGCCAGAGCGACTGATTCATAATCGCCCAGAGCGGTTTGCTCTGGGCGATGATGAATCAGTCAGTCAGCCAGTCAGGACAAGTAATTTTATATATTTAGATGGACAATTACAATTATGAACATGGAATATCTATCAAGATTTATTTCTAACTTCCGAGTACAAGGAAGTGGGCCGAGAGAGAGTTTACACGAGTTATTATCATACATCTGTACTATTTCCACGGAAGTTCGACTGTTCCTTTCTGGATCGAGGCACAAATTTATAAGGATCGCGCAGTGGCGTAGCGTGGGTGTCAGCCGCCCGGGGCGGAGGAAAATTTCGCCTCCCCCTTATTTAGATATCTCAATTTAAAAGACTAAAATTCAGTTTCGTCACAGAATAAGTAATGAAAAATTCCGTGCTCATTTCAATCGGTCCGAATCGTAGGTGCGACAAAAATATGAAATGGTTCAAATTTTTACAAGATATTATTATTATTTATTGTGAAATTTTGCCGCCCCCACTACGCTACGCCACTGAGATCGCGACTAACGTTCGTAGCGCGCACTTGATAAAGGAAGTTCAATGATATGACTCCTCAGTGTAGTCCGGCTTGTCACTGGTCAGCAGTTGGTGACCAGTAACAAGCCGAGACTCTCCTGAAAGATGGGAGGAATCGGTCTTATATCGGTTTGGCCTCGAAAATTTAGTCAGGTGATGGACTGTTGTCAGAAGTAAAGGTTACTTTTGCAGGGGAGGAGGTTGAAAGGTGTTCCCGGGACCATAATGAAATGATGAAATCGGACGTTAATTGTAAATAAGTCTTGCAGTATGAGAATGACATTGTTTCGATGTTTGAATGTTTACATTCAAAAGAAAGGTTATAACCTTCTATCGTTGTTGAGGAGACCTTCGATTCTTTTTCTGACGATGTTATTTTAACGGTTAGGTGACGATTTTATTTAAAATATGTCAAAGTTTATGAGAATAGGGGAAAATCGGTTTATTCACGGTTCGGATCTCACAAACGTTATACTAGCTTTTTTTTTTTTTTTTTTTTTTTGTATATTAGTCTTTTTCGTCACTAAGAGAATTGTATTTGTTAAATCTCGCGCTGTAGCTTATGCCGACGACATTAAATTGATATGTTCCGTTCCGAAAATCCTATAGTCTGACACTTGATTGCTAAAAAAATCTATTTGATTCTGCTGATCTCAGGATTAATATACAAAAATACTGTTATATGTTTTGCTTTAACTCGTAATCCTCCTTTACCTACTTTTTTCATCGATTCTACTCCTAATGCCATAATATTCCACGTCTAACAGCGAGAGATTTAACAATTTTATCGATATGGTTTCTAAAGTACGATTGGTATCAAAGAGCTCGTTGAATGACATAACATAATTAAATTAATAGGAGTAGAATCGATGAAAAAAGTAGGAAAAGGAGGATTGCGAATTAAAGCAAAACATATAACAGTATTTTTATATATTAATCCTGAGATTAGCAGAATCAAATAGATTTTTTAGCAATAGACTTTTTAGCAAGCGTCAGATTGTAGGATCTTCGGATCGGAACATATCAATTTCATGTCGTCTGCTTAAGCTACAACGTGATTTAAGATGACGAAGAAGATTGTTACGTCATTTAATGTTTACAGTTATATCAAGACATTTGACATCTTTTGTTGCACCTGATTAATATTTATCATAATAATCATGAAAAAGCTTCCCATTGAGAAGAAATTCCTTATTGTGGACATGCTAAAGAAAAAGTTTTTCTGTTGAGAAAACAGCATTAGAATCTGGTGTTGGACGTTCGAATGTATCCAGAATAAAGAATAGTGAGCTACAATATCACGAAAATTTAAGAGTTAGCAGGAAGAAAATTTCGAGCGCCTAAACAGAAAAGCATTGCATACGTTTGATAACGAATGGACGTTGCGATAGATCATCACAAGCAAAGAGGGAATTGAACATGGCTTAGGAATAGAAGTGAGTACTTCAACTATCTGCAGATGCCTAAAACGTCACAATTAAAAACAACAGTTAAGCCCAAGAAGCCTAATGTGAACCGCCGGGGAGGTCGGGAACCGTCGACTCTCCCTTTTCGGCGACAGGTCGTTAAACCTGCTCACTTGTCAAGATGGCTAAATTTCGATTGCGGTCCAGAAGGGTCGGGATTCTTATTGTCAGGTCGAGTGGAGGAGGTGAGAGGGGTCGTCGACGAGGCGTAAGGCGATATACGAGTAAAAGGACACCATTTAACAATGAAACAACGATTTATTAGATTAACGAAAAGAAAAAAAAATTAAAGAATACAAAATCTAACATCGGGGGAAGTGAATTTAGTTCACTAGCTCCTAACTCGCGGAGAGAAAGTTTACATTAATTGTTCCATACCTCTATTTTACTTCCACGTAGGTGGGGAAAATTTAGTCCTTTTTGCCGGTGATCGATGCACACAGTTAAAATTTTTCGCGACTTAACCCTTTCCGACGACCGTAGATGTGAGACTCCCCCGAGGAGGGGGAAAGAAGTCGCTTTTATAGCTTCGGGTAGGGAAAAATTAGTCAGGTGATCTCCTATTGTGTGAGATAGAGTTGGTCCTGCAGGTGTGGAGGTCAAAGTTGTTCCCGGGACCAAAACAAAATGACGAATTCGGACTTTAACTATAAACTTTTTGTCTTGCGGCAGAGGAATGTCGTTGTTGAGGGTCGAATATTTATATTAACGATGAAAGTTATAAGTTGGGATCGATATTTGATTCTTTTTTCTGACAATGTTATTTTAACGAGGAGGCGACAAATTTAATTCAAATATGTCGAAAATTTAGGGGAGAAAATGAACAATTTGGGCTTATTCTGAGGTCGGATCTCACACTAAACTTACCAAATTGCATAAAAAGTAACGTTTTAATTTTGCTAAACGCTATAAAAACTGGACCTTAGAACAGTGGAAGAGGATTGCATGGTCAGATTAATCTAAAATTAGTAGATTTGGCTTGGTCGAAAATGAGTAGGGACTACATCGATGAAATCTATAACTGAGCGAGAAATACAAACAACATTGAAATTTGGTGGTGGTAGTCTTATGGTCTGGATCTGTATTACGTACTTTTTGGGCCTGTAATGTTACGTTCTATACCCAAGAGACCAGGGCTTTGGAGCGACCATTTTTTTGAGTTGCTCCGCTCCAGCTCCGCTCCGATATCAAAGTATTTGCTCCAGCTTCGCTCCATGCTCCGCTCCATGCTCCGGTTAAAATATTCTTATAGGAATTACACTTTTGTCTTTGGTATATAAGTACGCATAAAAAACTTGTTTATTTACAACTAATTTATTATTAAAAAAATTAACATACAACCTCATTGATTTTAATAAATAAACTGGGGAGTCATGAAGGGGAAGGAATAGCTTGGTCAGGGGATAGTGGAGACTGGAGAGAGAGGTTCCCACCTTTCACATGGGACATACATGGAATGGATATAAAATTAATCTGTGCTTGTGATCACCTTTCTTTTTAGTTCAATTATTGTATTTTTAACATTTGTAAATATTACAACTTATGCCACTTCCATTCTCATCGTCTCAAATATTAAATAAATATATATATCGGAGCAGTGGAGCACTACAAATTTCCGTGCTCCGGTTCCGCTCCTGCTCCGAGTAAAAATCCATTGCTCCACCTGCTCCATGCTCCAGTTCCGCTCCAAAGCCTTGCAAGAGACTATGTTCTAAATCAGTGATTGCCAACCTTTTTAATAATTTAAAAATTTGGCGGCACACAGTTACTTCGGTAAGTATCGC